TAGAATAGAATAGAATAGAATAGAATAGAATAGAATAGAATAGAATAATTCAAAGGGACCTTGGAGGTCTTCTAGTCCAACCCCCTGCTTAGGCAGGAAACCCTGCACCACTTCAGACAAATGGTTATCCAATCTCTTCTTAAAAACATCCAGTGTTGGAGCATTCACAACTTCTGGAGTCAAGTTGTTCTACTGATTAGTTGTTCTTACTGTCAGGAAATTTCTCCTTAGTTCTAAGTTGCTTCTCTGCTTGATTAGTTTCCATCCATGGTTTCTTGTCCTGCCCTCTGGGGCTTTGGAGAATAGCTTGACTCCCTCTTCTTTGTGGCAGCCCCTGAGATACTGGAACACTGCTATCATGTCTCCCCCAGTCCTTCTATTCATCAGACTAGACATACCCAATTCCTGCAATCATTCTACATATGCTTTAGCCCCCACCCCCTTAATCATCTTTGTTGCTCTTCTCTGTAATGTCTTTTGCTCTGCAATATAGTGAGTCGGAAGGCAGCCTACACCATGAAGTTCTACCTTGTGCATTGAATACCAAAGAAACGAGAAGTACCGGGACAACCTTTTCATGTCAAAATGCGCTAAGTCCCAAATTCGATGAGTTTCGAAGCATTTGAGTACCAAGGTACCACTGTAACAACTTTGACTTCTGGGTATTGCATTAAGTAGAAATTTGCATGGACATGGTTTTATTCTTGTCTGCAGTACAGCATTTTTTGCCAGGCTATGTCATATCTCTAGACAAGTTCTGAACTCAGAATTAAATGTCCGGGGAGTTTATATTTATTGCTATATTGTGGGCAAAACCTGGAAAGATACAAAGGACTTGATCCTAGAGAAAATATTGTAACCGGAGCTAATTTTCCTAGTACACTTTCTGATGGCTAAAATTTCTGAGACACATCGCATCATAAATTAACTCCTGGACTGGTTTTTTTGGCTAATAAACAAGGCTAAAATATGGCTAACTACAGGTGGTCTTTGACTTACAATGGTTCCCTCAGTGACTGTTCAAAGTTACAACAGAACTGGAAAAAAAAAAAAGCAACTAACGAGCATTTTTCACAGTAACAACTATTGTAGCATCCTCATGGTCACGTGATCAAAATTCAAATCCCTGGGAACTGGTTCATAGTTATGACGGTTGCAGCATCCAGGGGTCACATGATCCCCTTTTGTGTCCTTCTTATAAGCAAAGTCAAGGAGGAAAAGTCAGATTCACCTAACAACTGTGTTATTAACTTAACAAGAGCAGCGATTCACTTAACAACTGTGGCAAGAGAGGTCATAAAATGGGGCTAATTCACTTAACAAATGTTTTGTTAGCAACAGAAATGTTGGGGTAAGTTATGGTTGTAAGTCAGGTTAATTAGCCGAGATAGTTTTTTTAAAAAAATGAGTGAGACAGGAGGTAATTGCACCCATCTTTAATTTGAATAGATATCTGTGTTAACCAAGATCAACCATTTAGCATATTTTCAATTACATTAATAAATTTCAATGTGGATTTTCACAATGGGCTAATGAATTTCATCGTAGATTTTCCAGCATACTATAACATGGATTTTCACAACGTGCTAATGCATTTCAAATAGATTTTCATGCTGTGCTAATCAATTTCAATGTGCATTCTCACAATGGGCTAATCAATTTCACAGTGTGAAATTTCAGGCCATTTAGTAGGCTTCGGGGACAACAATGTCTTGTGAGAACCCAGAAAGTGGGTCAATACAGTAATTAACTTTCATGCCCTAAAGGAAGTTAGATATTGCTTACCATACACCTTTAGGAACATGGACTTTGATCCGTGACAGCTGCTTCTCCAGGTCTTGGACTTCAGCAGTGAGCTTCGAAGAGTTTTGCAATTCTTTCTCACCTCCCATTTGGGGAGATCCGGATTTTTCCTCCTGGGCCTCCATCTTGCTGCTCGCAACAGTACAGATTGTCTGAAAAAACCTGAGTGACAAAAGTCAAAGAAGAGCCACGGTGGCGCAGTAGTTAGAGTGCAGTACTGCAGGCGACTTCTGCTGACTGCTGGCTGACTGCAATTTGGCAGTTCAAACCTCCCCAGATAAGAATAGAATAGAATAGAACAGAACAGAACAGAATAGAATAGAATAGAGATGAGGAGGAGGAGGAGGGAGGAAGGAAAGTAGAATAGAATAGAATAGAATAGAATAGAATAGAATAGAATAGAATA